AAACAGAATGAGTTTCTACTGGATGGAAGGAACATCAACATTGAAAACTCAGGCAATGCAGGCGAAAACTAGGCAGTGACCTAAAACGACATGAAGTTCAGGCAGAGGACTAACAAACTACAATGGTTCACCTGTTGAACGTTGCAAGTAGCCAGGATTCTGGTCAGTGGCTGCAGCAGCCTAGGCAACCCCCAGCTGGGGTTCTCGAACGGACATTGAAGCACGTACCGGGCTACACCGCCATAGCAGTTGTAGAGTTCCTCCACGGTCGCCTCCGGCACTGCACTATACATCTTGCTGCAGGCACATTTTTGGTGCAAGGGAAAGCAAGGGACAACTGTGGCCAAATGTGGTTTAGTTAAGGCCTGGGCTGAATCATCTCCATAGTAAAGGTTTAATAAAGAGGACACATGTTTGTACCTGTGTTGTGCTGCGAAATGACTTGTTGTCCTGAAGAACTCTTTGACCAGCACCCTCACCTTGTCTCCTATGTGGAGTCACTCAGTTAAACAGCTCTAGTTGCTCTTCACCAGTGACCTACTCCACTGATAAAAAACGTTGAAGTGCTTTGCTGCTAGGTTGCTTATGCGAGGTGCTGCAATCCTATTCTTCAAATCAAAGCTTAAATCAAACAACACTATGCTTCAGTGAACAATATCTGTCACCTTCACAAAAAAGGGGCTGCCATACACATAATAACAGCCATGTTGTCGACTTATGCCGATACCAACCCTGATTCACTGTACTACTGCACAAAACCCAAGTTATAATCCAAGAATATCACAACATGCTTTCAGCACTAGTTGCAGCAGCATGCATGATGTGAGCTAGCCCTCCAGACCAGCTCCCACCCAACCTGCCTCACACCCAGCACCTGTGGCAGTCAAGCAGCTCCTTATGCTCCCAGAAAGGCATGTACAGAACCTCCGCAGCCTCCTTATCCATCTCCTGCAGGCCGAGGGAGGGAAGGGTGACAGGCCTTCATTCTCGCCTTCCTATTTCATTAGGTTCATTAGGAACGGATACCATAAGGTGGCAACTAATGCACGAATTGTTCTGGATGCTGTGTGCCAGGTGCACAAGTAAGGTCAGTGTAT